AGGAGTGCTTTAAAGTACTCTCCATCGCCGAAAAATGTCATCATCCTTGGTAAGACGGTGTCCAGATTTGTCCTTCAAGACTGTTAGACTGCCCTTGTTTTCACCTCGGAGCCGGTGGATGGTCTGCCGGAATACCTTGTTTATCGTGTGGAAATTCTACTCCAATACCTCACCGAATTTCTCCCAGGAATCAGTTTTTGCTTTCGCTGCAGCCTTGGGTGCCTCGTCATATCACAGCGATTAGTGGGCTCTTTGTTTTCTATCTTGAACGCTGCTTTCTCTTTAACTGCCAGTTGTACCTCTCGTGTCGACCAGGAGGATCTTTCCTGACCTCAAGGCGGCCGGCCAACCCGTTTAAACCTGCAGCATTCAACGGCCGCCTCGAGTATGTCGCTCTTAAAGAGCTGCCGCTCGGTTTCCACATCACTGGTCGTCACCGGGTTCTGTTCAAGCCGTCATGCGATGTTTGCAACATTTGCTCTCGTGTCCACCGAAGATAATGTTTCCCATTTGACTCTTTGATTGCTTCTGCCACCAGATCTTTGTATCGTGCTCCATTTCTTACAGCGCAGCTTGCCAACAACAAGATGGTGATCGGTTGATAGTTCTGCGCCTCTTTTAACACGAACATCCATTACTGAGCGTCTTTAGTCAGACGATACGTTTATCAAATCGATCATCGGCATCTGTGCGCAAGCTCCCCGGTACCTGGTATACTGATGCATTCTTCGATGCTCGAAGACGATTCTGTTGTTTGCACAAAACGGCAACAACTTCATTCCGTTATTGCTGTGGTCTCTTGCCGTTGTTTGCAATCACGCCGTTCCACTTTTCAGCGTCTACTGCGGCATGCGCATTGAAATCGCCAATGAGTATGAGGGACTCTGTATTCTGCACTTTGGACATAGCTCTCCGCACTTCGTTAAGGAAGGTATCATATTCTCCTTCCAGATTGGCCGCATAGACCTGTACCATGGTTAACGCTTTAGCCTGTTGTAGCTTCAGTTGACGGATTACCACCGTTCCTTCGACAGGCTTCCATTCAGTGATTCTATCTGCGAGGTTGCGCTCCACCAAAACACCAACACCGGCCTGAGCGCGCTTCGTGATATCGACACCTGAGTAGAACAACTTCCCAACGCGGAGGTTCAGGTTTCCAGAAATTGGCGTTTCGTTGAAGAGAATTCTAATTGGTACTTTATAGCCTCATCAGCTAACCCCTGTTCTTTCCCTCTGATTGAAGATATATTCCAATTTCGGACTGTAAGCTCTCGCTGGCAGTGTAGTTCTCCTGGAGCATTTTCTGACATAGTATGGTGGCATCTCGCTGTCTTACCCTCCATTCACAGCGGGTAGCGACTCCTGCTGATTGGTACCTTTGTCGTCATTCCGTTGGTCTTCCATCAGCCGTTACTGTGCTTCTACGCCCCTGACTGGCAGAGGGCGATGAGCCGGTTCTGAACGCCGACTTTTCTTAGCCTGCCTGAGTCAACAACAGCCTGCTTGGCCCTTGGTAACCGGTTCGACGACCGAGCCGGTATAATTTTCGATGACGTCAATACCGTGAATGGCAGGTGGTTAACTTTTGCGAAGACTTCGCCACCGTCTCCAACCGCTCTCCTTTCTGAACCGGGCTTGTGACCGCCAACGATGGAGTTTATACCATGATCATCATGCGAATTGTTCCTGTTTTTTTCCTATGGATGACTGTGTAATTAGTCCTGAATCCTTTTTTGTTTTTCGATGCCGCATTGATGCGGCGTAAGCACCGTCCACTTGTTTCCTGTGGCCTACCTTTCACACTGTATTAGTATGTGGAAACTCGAGCCATTGCATCTTTCAGCAATGCATTACTCTAGTGATCGTCTAATAGCTATGCTACTGTGCTTTGATATTGTTCTTTACAATGATATGATTGTTTTCGCATCGTCATCTAAAATCCCCCATTCTTTCTGTGGTTTACCACATACTCAGTGATTCGCCAAAGATTCGCTCCTTTAACTTGAATTATATCACCACTTTATTGTCTACAGCTGATACCTTACTTTGTTTAGCTTGCTAAGCAGCATAAAAATATCATGAAATTAATTTCAGATAACTAAAATGGGGCTTCCAGTTGTTCCGCAGAGTTTGAAGTCAGATTAGAGTAAATTAATACTACGAACTTTTTCGTCTGGCCACATCTGTTTCGTTAGTTGACCTTGCTAGGATTGGTGACGGGCCTTTACAGCTAATATGGCGACTAGGCTGAATGCACTCCATTGTATTTTCCGCCCTTGCATATGATTCTATCCTTTATTCGTCACTCGGTCTCCTTGTCGTGAATGTAAGGTTGTTTTTAGAAGGCAGACTTCCGTGTCTAATTCGAACTTCGAATGTCATCATGTAACTGGATGGCATATGCCGTGATTCTTCACAGCCAGTACGCATGATGATGGCTCGTAGAACGTCTACCGATGGTTAATGGCGGATTATGTTGCTCTGCTGTTCATGCAGACGGCAAATAATCTAAAAGTGGTGTAGATTTTGCGGAAGCATTGAGTATAAACACTTCAGCCAAGCGTAACAAAAAACGAAGATCTGTGACTAACAACATCAACGATAGCAAACACAGCGTAAAAAGAAACGGCTGCGGCGGGTCGTTAGTAGATTGTATTGCATTGCAATAAGCTGAAACAGTGAAAACTACCATTTTCATAACGCTATCCGCACTGTCCATTATTTTCGCACTCCGATAGGCTGAAAGAGTGCAGTTTGTATAATTGAAATGCGATCCAGCTGTTTGTATATACTGCTTTCGTCAATGTTAACAGCTTCATTTTTTTCGCCTTGTTTATATTCAAGATTATTCTAGGTGCAGAGTCGCACATGCCGATCTTATTGCGCTCCTGTCGTCATCTTGAAGTTGACCACTGAATGGAACAGGCAGTTGGTGTCATATACATTTTCCGTAGATGTCGCGGTAATCGAACAGATTAGAGAAGAACTGGAGGCAGCTTTGAATGAACTAAGGTCACGCGAACTCAGAAAACTTCGTCAAACTCTCTATCGTCGTAAGGAACTTTAAATCATACTTACTGCAAAATTCCACTCTTGTAGTTACGGAACGACGTATCGATTCGTTCCCTGTTTGAATATCATTAATGGCCGTCGCTTTCCGATCCGTGGTTAAACGCAACAGTTTAAAAGGATTTTCCTGAATCTTTTATTTACTGACGCTTTTGCAAGCGGTACACCACCGTCATCATCAGCATAGCATTTACGCTCAGAAGAAACGCGCGTCGATAAATAAAGGATTTGCGTGGTCACTTTTAATTTTTTCTTTGAACCATGAATCAGAAGGCAATCACCATTAACTTTTATTCAGCCTTTTTTCATCGTTTTGTTAATTTGATGACATGTGTACTGATACTACTTGTTTTACGCCTGTAATGTTCCTTTTGTGTCATCCAGTATATTTACTTTAAAATTCTTTATTAAAATCCGTTTCGAAAGCTTGAAAAATGGAAAGGCTGATGGAATTGATGAAATCTACCCTGAATGCTCAAGGCATTAGGCGAACAAGGCATGTGCTGGCTAACACGTGTCTGTCAAACTGCGATGACTGCGGGAAAGATACCAGCGGACTGGAAAACGGGAGTTATTGTACCCGTATTCAAGAAGAGAGACCACAAGGAATACTCCAATTATAGGGGCATAACGTTACTGAGCCTCCCAGGTAAAGTCTACGCAAAGGTATTAGAACGGAGGTGCGGTGAAATAGTTGACGTCAAGATTCAAGAAGTGCAGTGTGGCTTCTGGCCCGGTCGAAGCACCTCTGACCATATATTTGCCCTGCGCCAGATTGTTGAGAAATCGAGGGAGTATGCCCAGGCGGTGTACATGTGTTTCATTGACCTAGAAAAAGCCTATGACCGGATCTCACACAACAGTCTGTGGTCATGCCTTCGAGCATACGGGATAGATGGCCAGCTGCTAAGGGCCATCCAATCACGTATTCTGATGGCACCTGCTACGTCAGAGTAATGGCGTCAAGTCGAAGACTTTCGACGTTGGCACTGGCCTCCGCCAAAGCTGCGTCCTGTCCCCTCTTTTGTTTGTGTTGTACATGAGTAGAATAGTCAGGAGTAGCGAAGGCGGTGATTGTTTCGGTGTAGGAGATGTGAAGAAGAAAAGGTTGTTGTTTGCAGACGGCCTTGTTTTATTGGCATTTTCTGGAACTGATCTGCAGTGTTCCCTAGAAAGGTTTGCACCTGTGTGCGACGTGACCGACGTGCGTGTGAACGCATCTAAAACGAAAAGCCTAGTGCTTTCTCGTTCTCCTGCCCGTTGTTCCCTTCAGATTAACGGAGAGACAGTAGAACAGGTGGAGAAGTTCAGGTGCCTCGGAATTGTATTTACTAGTGATGGAAAATTGAAGAAAGAGATCGACCGGCGAACTGGAGTAGCCAGTGGCGTTCTGTGTGAACTAGCCCGATCCATTGTGACTAAAGCAGAGTTCAATCTGAAAACTAAGCTCTCGGTGTTCAAGTCGATCTCTATGGTCATGAGTCGTAGACCGTGTCTGAAAAGATTCGAACCCGGATACAGGCTGCTGAGATGGGCGTTCTGAGACGAGTCGCTGACCTTACGCGTCTCGACATGGTCCGGAATACTGACGTGCAGGAGAGCCTTGGTCCACAGCCTTTGCTTCTCGAGATTGAGATGTCAGAGCTGCGATGTGTTGCGAATGCCTCCAGAAAGAAGAGCTAAGAAGCTTTTTCTTGCGAAGCCGACCGACAGAAGGCCAAAAGGACGGCCAAGATTAACTTGGTGCAAATATGTGGAAGGAGTCTGTTCCAGACTCCAGTTATCTTCTGCCGAAGCTCATACTCTGGCGCAGGATCGAGAACGGGTAGAAGATGAAAAAGATGAGTCCGTTTGAAACTATTAATTTCAGGTAGTTAATCCTTTCCAGTGATGTACTATATTGTCCGGTCTAACTTTTCCACTAGTCATTTCCTCGTCAGTTTTTCAGGAATTGCTTCAGCAAATATATGCTTGCATTTTTTCTTATCTAATTTATTGGAAAACGATTTCAGATACCGATTTCCCTCGGAGTCGTGAATAACGGGCAACATCAAACGTAAAGGAATGCTTGGCGATGCGAACTGCGATGGTGTGAATGTTCTTCAACGTCGCAGCTGTCCTAAAGGCCTGTCATAAGCCCTGAAACAGCGAGCTAACGAGTTTCTGGTAGAGCTCTTTCGCACCAATCATCCTCTCAGCGGATATATTTCTGAATACAAAATTTGTGGTTTTGAACGGTTTTTATTGGTAACGGGCCCGAAATTCTCACTGGATATGAATATGGATCCAGAAAAACTTTAGAGCGGAGAAACTTGTCATTTAAGTGCTAAATGTCGAACGCGGTTCGCTGCGTGGAACGTGCTCGATTTTTATCTGGGCAGACTATTGCATCTATTGCACAAGGAATACATTAAAACGCGCTACTGACAGTTGTGTTATTGCATTTGTAGTCAGAAGAAATGCAGAAGGAGCTTTCGTGCGCTGAAGCATGATACCAACCGAATCATTACGGTGAGATTCAAGTCCAGGTACAAAGGATTTGGCTTCTCGGTAGTTGGTTGTTGTGCCACTGCCGAACGGCGACACAGGCAGTAACGGAAGAATTTAGTGCCACGCTCAGTCTGTTGCTGCAGCAGTGTCGAACCTATGATATCGTGATTATGCTGGGTGATCAGTGCGAAAGTGGCAACATGGAATGAGTTGTATAGATGTCTCGGGTTGCGCGACATACGCACGTACACCGTGAATCATAGAGGTGCACGATTAGCGGAACCGTGTAAAATGTGCAGAACTAGCATGGCATCGAAAAGACTGAAAAGAGAGCGCGCATTTGTTCGATCGAGGTGAAATGTTTATACGGCACCAGGCGTCGTCTGATACGTTTCGATAAAATGAAAAATGTGGAAAACCATAATAAGTATACGTAAACGCAATCGATGTGCTTCCGTCGTCATTCTGGAAAATCATGGGCAGGAAAAAATAAATTATCCATTCAGAAAAAAATTGTTTCTGAGGACATTCCTCAAGAATGACGTCATTAAAGTACCCTTTCTGTTTAGCGGATTAGTATAACACGCAGCGATGATCCATTTTTGTGTGTTTAAGACAGAGCATGATTGAAATCGATCCGCTTTGATCTTCACAGTATGTGACGTGCAAGAAATGGTTACACTGATAGATCCTAACTACATATGGTTTAGACTGTACTCTCTCTTACGTGCCATCAAACGCTTTAGAGTATGTGACAAGGAGGAATCAATGAAGCAAGGCCTTACCTTTCCATCTATATTGCTACAAGAAATGTTTCTAGTGGTATCATATCACGTATTTCGAAT